GCCAAACTCTGCTCTCAAGTAAGCTTGCCTTGCTAATAACCATGCAACGGCTCTTGTTTTTGTCTGTCCACTTCTTGCTAATGGCCTCCCAGATTCTCTTCTATTTTCTCCTTTACCCAATTTCTTATCAAGCAGTGGCCTCCGTGGCCTCAAACCCTTTGAATTGGAGCTCTGAGATTGCGGATTAATAAACATGAAATATTGTATTGGTAGCATCAAAATGTTACATTATTTGACCAGAATTCCCAAGTGTATTTCTATAGACCATATGCAAAAATAATCTTGAAGTTAATGAAAAGTCGTGCATTTGTGTTTTAATCATATTCAATTATCAACAATTGAGAGTTGTGTCAACTAAATCTAAGGTGGTCTAACGGGAGCTGTTTATGCACTATTCCTTGCCATTTTTCCTGGGAACTGTCCAGGTTTATTTCTTGCATATATGTACAATTGATAGAGAAATGAACTATAATGTGATTAACACCAACACTGTCAATATAGGCCACTTTATATTGATTTAACACAGGCTTTAATGACCAATATTCAAAATAAAGGTATGCGTTCGATCGTGTAAGATTAACATAATCAACTGTACGGTAATTGATTGTGACTCACCCGGCCATTAATTCGTTACTGCATATTCTCAAATGAACATAATCCATTGAATTTATAGGACTACATATAAATGGTTTTCGCACTTGATAGGCTCATAGTGATTACATCACCTTTGCTCTATTTAAGACAGAAACAGGTTGACAACTTCATAATTCTTGGAAATAGCCTGATGAAGCTGGTTGTTTTGGCCAGTGAAATGTCGTACTCATAAATATTGTGTGCTGAAGTAGTCGATTATTGGCACCTTTTGTTTACGTGACAACCCTTAATAATTGGCTGTCAGGTGGTGGTGGTGGGTTAACAACGCGTAATATTGATTTACTCGTGACACTTCTACCACTGCCCGTAAGGTAGAGTAGGTGGTGTTGCACCCACCTGCGTTACGAGCTGGGGTAATGCATCATTTTTATATTGAGTAAGCCAAACCTTAACACACCTCAACATTAACCAATAATAGTGCAAAAAATAATATGCCTGCTGACAGTGTAGAGGCCCAAGTTGTAGTGACTAAAGTTGACTGAATTATACAATTAAAAACTGTTAACAGGTCAATTGAGCCCCTCTATTACCTGATTAGTGTGACTAAGGTGTTTCGTAACAGATACATTTTTGTAGGCTGTCTGTGAATGGTCAAGGGCTCTATTATATAAAGTCGCGGCAATATGTTCCTCTCCTTCAGAAAGTACAGCTATAGTGTGTGTGCGCGCATTGTGCTGTCAGACGGTTGAGTGACGGTCCTTCCACCGCAAGCTACATGCAGCAGACTGCCTGGCGCCAGGAGAGCAAGCGTGCCGCATCTACTACCGAGCTCGACCCAGACGTCATCCAGTGGGCACTGTTCAAGTCCACAAGCTCAAAATCCAACACGTTCCGGCCTACTGCTTTTAACATTAAAATTTAAAATCCACAAGCGGCGCGTGCGTTGCGTGATGATTGTGAAAGAGCGATGTTGTAGATGTCTGCATGCTTCGGGCCTGCAGATTTATACATTGGGTTATGTTACTGTGGGTTGTATTCTTTTTCCCAGTAGCGGTATTGCTTCAGTGTGTTTATGAACACAATTTATACTTTTGTTTTCCATTAGCTTCACACGCGAGCCTTGTAAGAAATGGTAATCTTATAGCAAATTAAATTTGAAAAAGCCAGTTGAGAATAAAACATTACTATTATAAAATAGAGTAAGAAACATGCATTATTTGCTACCATCAAGATACAAAAACGTACTTTTGTTAGCTGTTAGCTATGAGTGGATTGTGATAGTTTTTATTAACAAAATAATTGAGGTTTGCTTTTTAGGCTTTGTTTCATGTACAAATGTTTTTGTTTGATCACCATCTGCTGTATGGCTTATGCAGCTAGTAGACAATGTTTAATGTAACCTTTTGTCATACCTGGTCTCACAAATATGAATGTAGATTTTTACACCTTTTCAGCCCGTAATGGATACACGTTTGTGTTTTTGTCTGCCATGTTGGTCTTAAGAAATTAAGCTAAATAATGCAAGGTAAAATATGAACAGTTTGAAAAGCGTGCTATAATAATGCCCGATGACAAATTCGTTTCCTTAGCAAATTGTATTACCATGGGGTAATTTCTGCTGAGGTTCTTAATTAAAATTTGGTTATAACATTCCTGTGTTTGAGGGCAAAAAATTACTGCATTTTACTTAAACTTTACCATTTGAGTCCAGTATCCCCAAGCTCACGTTAGATATCTGGAGAAAATACCAGCCAGCAATATCACACACCATGTACCATGGGAAAGTGTAATTGCCTCTCCGATGAATATGAACTGTTGTAATATACTTTATCAGTAAGGTCGTGAATAATACCATAACCTTTTTTTCCCAAAGGATGCAATTCGCCTTGACGTTCTCTTGATAACACATTCTCACATCTTAAATAGTCCGGACAACAGAACATTGCTGTGTATATTATACAAGTTTTTGAATTTTGTAACGTATAGTACTGCAAGGTTTTCCACCTTACCTCTGCTTCTGAGTTAATTTTGTTTCCTGGAAAAAAATAAACTTTCTTTTGAATGTTACATATATGCTTGATCTCATCCAGTCGCGATAACAGCATTGAACCTGATATGTTTGTGACTGCTTACCACACTTCTTAAAAGTACACTTTGACTACTGTAATTAGTTCTGCAAGAAATGCAGTGCAGTATTGTGAATAGGGCAGGTGGTAAGGTATCGTTTTATTAATGAAAGTTGGGTCTCGGTACATGAATGAAATTGTACGCATATCTGTACAGCAATAACACATTAAATAAAATTGTGATCCCATGCCAAGCCATTGAATTGCAAGGGAAACACATGGTTACATTCCTACTTGTCACCTATCTTTCCATGTACAACGTCAGAATAAAATGATCACATTACACATTTGGATGCTGCCTTGATATGTTTAAGACATTCGGCCAAAAGAGTGACCACGTCTGAGAGGATGACCACAGGGTGACGAGGAGCGAGGTGGATGATTGCATCAAGTTTACATGTAAATGTGACATTGGGAGGCCTTCATGCAGCAGTGGATTCATTATAGCTATTCATAAAGATTGCCACAATGTCAAGTGAATGCACTGCATTCTGGTGCTGTTGGAGTATGAAGGTTATCACTCTGGACTTGCAATCCAGAGGTCGCCGTCTCAATTTGATATCGCGGCAGTAAATGTACACAGTCGATCGGCAGGCCCCATGTGGATAAAGTGTCGTTTTCCCACTTCCAAGATGCTCTCCCGAGTGGAGGACCTTTTTCCAGCAGTGGTGTAAGAAAGCAGTTGTGGCGCTGCACCTTTACACGGTGTTAACTTTGAAACGGAGGCTGAGGCACATCTCAAGGACTCCGATTGGCATTTTCAAGCTTTGGGTAGCAGTCTAAATTTAAACCTCCATTTCCAGCATTTTTCATTCGGCATTTAATGGGCATTGTACATTTGATTGGAAAGATGGACCTTGTCTGACGTGAAAGCAGAAGTTACTCATCAGTGTCCTAATCCTATAACAGCTTGGTGCGAATTATATGAACTGTGTTTTTCCCTTAACGTCGGAAAAACGGATGTTGCAGACAACTTACCAGGTTATTGCTATGTCTTTATAAAAAAATAACCTGCCAACTTCCTACACCCATGTTAAATCACACTAACCCCACCTTTTAATAAACTCACAACCCACATTTGTATAACTGTCATTAACGTCATGGTGTTAAGCTATATAGAAAATGTCATGAGCCTCGAACCGTGTAAATCCTACTTCCAAGCATGTTATTTTCACCCTGATGCCTTATTTCCAAGCTGACCCTTTCAATGGCAATGGCTGAATTTTAGATGCTTTATCATAGGATAGCATATCCATGACAAACGGATTGTCGAATGCAGTCAAAAGTTCACTAAGACTCTTGCAGTCACGAAAACGAAAAATTTTGATTTCACTAAGAATACCGGCGATCCATTGAGAACATTTCAAATCGCGCAATTGTCGAAGTTTGGTTCAATTCAAAATTAAGACAAGCTGTCATCGTGTCCTCACTTGTAAGATCGTGCCAGTAATATAATACACCCTGGCAATGGCACCTGAATGAAGAAAAATATGTTCGATGGCTTAATAAAGACGGTGGAGGTGGAGGAGGTGCAGCTCATAGCGGCTGGGGATTCACGTGGATAACATTGGTCAACACACTTTTTCTGGCATAAGGTATTCCAACGGTTTTAATGTAATTTTGGGGTGCTGATTCCAAATCTGGCATCACATCAGGTTTTTGAGATATCAAATATTGCATTTTCAATAAAAACTACGGAAGAAAAATATTAAATAAATGTGGATATCTACATAAAATGATATGATAAACACACTATCCTAAAAATACAGCACCATATTTTTACACTAAAGCAGTCACTGACTCGCAACAACTTGCAATCATAAGTGACAGAGTTAATTTCGGGTAAAATCAATGAAAATGGGGTATGCCGATAGCATAAAAATGAGATGTGATAGAGCAAATCTGAGATCAGATTTGGAATCAGCACCCTGAAATTAGTCTAAAACAGCTGCAAAAGTCCAGGCCACAAAAAAGTTTTTTTTTGTTGACCAGTGTAATAATAGGTGACCTAATAAAGATGAATACTTTGGATAAAGAACCACTGCAGTTTGTTGAATGCGCTATATTACTCTTCGTACGAAAATCAGCTACAACAGCTGCGCTACTTGTAAACAGCACACAGATAATCCGCTATCTTTCCGACACTATTGTGTTTAGCGCGTAAAAAAGGGCTTGACTGTCAATTATCACTTTCGGAAATTGAGTTTGGGCTTCATTGTAAAGTCACGTTGGTCGTTATTGTGGGGCTTTGCACATGGGTGTTGTGCAATTGATGTACTTAATCTGACATCCAAGCGGGTTTTTTTCTTTCAAATCGGAGGTAGTTTCAAGATATATAAGCAAGAGGAGCATCGCAGATCTGCCACAAAGACACTCCTGCAACCCAAAGCAAGACTGTGAAAAAGGGGAAAAGGTCTGTATTAGAATATTCGTTATAAAATAATTTAATACAAACTTTAAAAATAATGTTTAAGAGCCGATTTAACTCAAATTATAATTTGACAATATAATTTATTCGAAGACCAATTTACAATAAAGTAACCTCAAACTTATTAACGTTGTTTGGTTTCACCCTTGTACATTAACACAATCACGTGAGTTTATTTTCCATTTCTGATTTGAGCTGATAAAAGATGTCTGATTTGGTTCAATCGTGACAGAAATAAACTTCGTACACTACTTTAACAATTGAACGTGTACTAGCATAGTTGTCAGAATGTAGTCGTTCCATGCTAAGATTTCAAGTGGTGTTTAACATTTTTACATGACGTTTTATTCCTGTTGTGCACACGTGCTCAGTGCTGCTGGAATGATGGGAAACTGCTCTCGACTGCTGCTTCTGCTGGGGATGCTGTCAATCATCTCCCCAGCCACCAGTGCCATGTGCTGGGCACGGCTGGACCAGGTGAGGGGGGAAACACATTACCACTACTTCGATGGGCAGTGCTCGTAAGGCCGCATGCTTCTAGCTCTACGAGGTATAAATTTCGATTTAAAGCTTTCGTGACTGCAGGGATTCATCTTCTTGGTTCTACGTGACTTTACCGAAAGAACCAAGAAGATCTACGAGGTATGTTTACATTGTACCGCATGCTTGTTTAGCATGTCTGACATTTCACTCGTCTTATTGTAAGTCTCTTTGTTGCGAGTTTCTTCATCTTTTAATAACCTTTAATTACAACCAGATGAGAGCCTCCAGATTAGACTTTTCTCCTTCAATACGGACATGCTAAAATATATGGTAGTGGTTATATGGTCAATTAATCAAGCCACCGACATCTTTCACAATCCGGAGATGTGATAATCCGCCTAATATCTGCAAACGTGTTTCAGCCTTTGGCGACATTTGACAACTTGTCTTAAAAATATGCAGACAATTATTTATTACCCCTGGTTAAATGGTTCCCCGTGATGCACGTTCTGCTACTTTGCAGTTAGATGCTTCATAAAGCCAAAAGGTAATGATTTCAGCCAGAAGATTTGTAATTTTCACAGACACTGGCTTTTCACCCAATCTTAAAAACACCACCACCATCATCATCGTCATCATTATCAGGTATTACCAACCATGACTCCTCAACTGCCAAACAACAGGATTACAAGAACTTCCTTGGATAGGATTTCCTTTAGGCAATTAACCCTCCCCCCCCTAACCTTAGCAGTTTATTTTATAGCAAATTTAAGGAGCACAAAAATACTGTTCAGCCGCTGTGGATCATGCCGCTGTGGTGAAATGGTTAGCTTGCTGAATTTGAAATTCAGAGGCTGTTGGTTCAATCTCCAAGCATTTGAAACAATGGGGAAGTGTATTAAATCTCCCCTGCCTGTCCTCCCTGCAGTATACATTTGTACACCACGGGTAGTCGATCGGCAGGTCTGGTGTGGTTTTAAAGTGTGAGTTCTTCCACCACTTCCAAATCGTCTGGCCAGCGAGGAAGAGTAAGACAAATACTTTCTAGAGTTCTGTCAAACTCTTTCTTATGGAAACCTTTCTACGAGCAGTGGCGCGAGGAAGCAATGGCAGGGCAGCAGTTTAAATGTTTCACATGCGGAGAAATGTAAAGGCTGGTGATCTGGATGGCACAACCACATCCTCTCCGCCAATATCGTATCACTGTCTCTACCACCTCTGCTGCCACCCAATATCCCATCACCGTCTCCTGTCTCTCTTTCCCATTCACTGATACATTCCAGGGGTGCTTCACCGACTGCAAGAAATACTGCAGCAATGGGACACGGGCAGGCACGCCGGCGGCGGTGCTGGAGAATCTGCTGGCATGCGTGCAGGTCAAATGCAACGACGGCGGTGATGACAACGACGACGGTGACGACGCTCCCCTGCTGCAGTGGATCGCCAGCAGAGCCGAATCCCACAGCGATTTCGACATCGCCAACAACAAGTGGTGGCTCATCCGCTGGGGTGGACAGAGTGGCCTGAGTGGCGAGGGTGGCCAGAGTGGTGGAAGTCCGAGGGTGGAGCAGGTGGATTTGGCGGGGCAGGTGGAGTCCTCCCCGGCCAGTAGTTCCAGCCAGGCCAAGCGTTCCGTGTCCTCCCCCAAGTACGCCATGGGGCATTTCCGCTGGGGCAGCCCCGATAAGGCCACCATCCGCAAGCGCAGACCGGTGCGACCCAACATGTCCGACAGCCCCGAGATCCCAGACTACGCCTTCAATGGGGTGGACGGCCCGGCAGACGACGCGGGCGACTCCGTGTTCATGAGCCGCAGGGAGACGCCGGCCTCGGCCGGGCACCGTGGAGTGGACGCGGCGGCGACGGTGACGGGGGAGGATGCCGAGGTTGGAAATAAAGACGGGGTCTTCCACGTGCCTCCGCCATTCAAACGCTACGGTGGCTTCATGAAAGTGATGCAAGAGATTGACCATTGGCCACTGGTGCCAGTAATCCGCAAGGTCATGCACAAGGAGAACACAAAGTCGCTTTGAGTGCCTCCCGTGTTGAGGCTACGCAGTGGTTTGTTTAGGTCGGTTCATGAAACGTCGATTTGATTTGCATGCATTGACGTCAGGATGCATTTGTTGGTGTCGTTTACTTAAATTCAAAAATAAAAAAATATATTAATCGCTTCAGTTATTGTCTTTCTCCCTTGCAATGCAATACGACACGAGTGCTTACCAAATGTTGAAGGCTTACATTGAACATTTCTGCAATAGATACAACTGGCATCATTACACAACAGACAAACGCAAATATTGTACACCTCTAATTTAACAAGCCTGTTATGTGAACATCGAACATGCAGTCTTGCCTATGCCACGTCGGTTGTGAGGGTTTTTTTTTACCATACTTCACCACATTAATCACAACGGGTTGGTGAAACGGGGTGCCCATAACCTAACAATCGCTTCATCACTCTGATATTAGCCGAGGTGGGAAACAACTCGCCGGTTCACGCAGTCGTGTGGGAAACGCTTCAGTTACTGCACCCCTCTGCTTTATTTAACGGTGTATGCATCTACACTGGGGTCATACATCGAAAGTGTTTCTAGTAAAACCGACTGTGAATGACAACGCACACCTATGACTTGAGGCGTGGTGTACATTATCAATTACATTGTGCATGAGAATGTCGCCACCCACCAACGTAGCCCTCAGCAGGGAGAGTAGGCAGGGATGTTGGGTGAAATAAATCAATTATTATGAGTTCCAAGTCACAGGCTGTGCTCCACCTAAGAGAGGGAGCCTGTGCACATGGTCTAAGCCAGGGGTGTGCAACCTTTCAAAGAAGAAGAGCCATTTTTTTGGTCTTTGACCGAAATAGTGCCGCATCGCACGCAAAGCTACTTGTACACATACACAAACATAGATGACAAACAAATTCTGACTTAAATCAACTAAATAGGTGATGGAATAAACTGCATATATTTCATTCCCCACCCCCCCCGTTCGTTATTATTTAACAGTTTCGCTCGATATTTTGTTGCCACCAAGACAGTTCCATATTCACCCATTCTCTGCCATATTTAATCAATTATCTTTACGTTAAATTACGTTTAAGATTTATGGTGTTTTTTTTTTTAAAAGACGGCTGCCCGCAAGGGAGCAGCCAAATAGCCGCAAGGGGCGAGCCAAAGAGCCGCATGCGGCTCCGGAGTGGGAGGTTGCCGACCCCTGGTCTCAGCTTTGTGATAAGAGGGCAGCCCTTACAGTGAACCAGGAAAAAATTAACCCGTAAAAACAAAGTTTTTCACTATAAATCCTTTATATGCGTGTTCAATGGGCCACAACCCAGCCCACATTGGTCTTTGAAACGGGCGGCTAGAGTCCTCTCATCCTCTGGCTTGAGGTGGCTGCCACCTATGGGTCAGATGATTGTCTGCCACCATTAAGCAATTGGTAATTAAATATTAAAAAAAATCCTAAAACGTGTAAAATTTTGGAATTTTTTTTCACGAAAATACATTGTCACGCACAACGAGTCTGTGTGCAAAATGTCAGCTCGATTGGATCACGGAAAGTGGGTTAAAAAACGACCGAAAGATTTACACAGTCGTAAGCAAGCAAGCAAGTGAACTTAATATAAAGGATTTAAAAATAGTGTTGCTGCCTCACTCATCACACTACTACTGCTGCCACCGTCATTTCTGCTGCAGCTTGATGCAAAACAAAAAGATCATCCATCAAATGTAGGTTTCGTTTTTTCTTCACTCGAGGTTTTTGGGTTAGATCGCGTAAATATATAGATGTGTCGTTAAAACCCGCCACCACCCGACACAGCCAACTAGTAAGGGTTGTCACGTAAACAGAACGTGCCAATTCGTCACTAGTACAGCACATCGGTGTGTTGGAGAGCCAAGCCACAACATTTACAAACTGAGTAATTACAACTAGCTTCATCAGGCGACAGCCAGATTTGTGGAAAAGTCAGTGTTTGGCTAAACGAGCCAGTGGGGCAGCATGCACCTCAGTTAGTGGCCCGGGGTCAGTGGTGGAAATTCTGTAACTCCATAGTAGGGGTTATTCTCTCCATAGGACTATTTAAGTGATAAAGTAGCTCCCCGTTGTGTTTTCAGGTTGTACCCCAAGTTGTTCGGCATGATGTGTGATGTTTCACTCCACCTGTTGGGAGACACGTGGAAAGAAAAGTCGGACATTGTGCTGAATAACATGCAGTACAGCCCGAAGATACATCTTGAAGAGCTGATTTGTTGAATACATATTTGAAAATTATTTTCCCGACGTGCCTGAGTGGCTCAAGGATGGGAGAACTGAATCAACACCGATGAGATCCCAAACATGAATCTGAGTAGCCACCTGAATGAAGGTTTATTTCATGGTCTCAAGCTAGTTATAAGAGCCCATCCCATTTCATGTGGATGAAAGCTCGCTGAGACTTTTTAAATGAATTGGGCTTTACTGCCATGTGACAAACATATCTCTATAGCAGAACTTTTGAAAACGTGAACCCCCCTAATGTATACAAGATAATAAAATTCGCTTTCAGGATCTTAGAAGTAGTTATATGAAATATAATTTCACAAGCTGTCCTATAACACGGGGGGGTGATGCACTGCTTGATGAGAGTTCTGAATATATACGTCGTCGCATGGCATGGTACGGACATGAAAATTGGACACAAATGTAGAAAAAAGGACAATGTAACGAAAACATCGTTTTGTGGTAGTCACTTCGGGTCGGGCAGTCTTGAGAGAGACGCAGGGCGCACACGGATTGATTCTTGCCAACAAAAAAGGGGTCAGGGGGGTTAGGAGCGGGAACTGGCAGCATACATTTAATTGCATATGAGGTGTTGGGTGACGGTTTAATGGGAAGAGGGCAACATGGCGTGTATGTAGGCTGAACTTCTTTCGCATCGTACGCAGCCAACAGTGCTAATCGGAGGTACCGGGGAAGGACAACAAACTAAACACAGTTTTCAATCTAGATTTAAAAGTGCCATAGCTCCCAGTTTGCTTCCTAATATCGGAAGGAAGAACTTTCCAGACGGCCCCAGAAGCGCTTCTGAAAGCGTGCGATGCAGTGCCCGTCTTTGTTCGCGCATCTCAATTAAGAGGCGCGTGAGATCAGCTGTTGGGTGGTGGTGGTTTAAAGGGAAGGGGGCTTATTCAAAGGGGTGGGGAGCCATTAGCAGTGGGTTTTTGCTTAGTGACTCCGAATGCAAGGTGCTGTATATGTTGTATAGGCTTCATGAACAGCGGTATAGGCTTCGTAACCAGCGGTGGGATGACACAGCGACATGTCTAAATTTAAGGCGCAAGAAAAACATCCTCAGAGAGTTTCAACTGGAGCAAGAAGAGTGGAAAATGCTCTGAACTTTTCACAAGAGGGCAAAATCCAGAGACATCGCAATGCCAAGACATCACGGCCGGACCAGCTTCTCCTTTGGCTGCAAAGGAAGAATCTCAGGCTCAGACTGGAGAAACATTTTGACTGACGCAGCCAAAATGTTGGTGCAACAGATGACTGCTGGAGCAACACGAGCAGCCAGCCATTCGCATCAAGAAGAAGAAGAAGATCTGGCACAAGAACGGCCTCAATCTCCACAGCTTTTGGGTGAGAACCAAGCACCCTCTGTACCACAACGAAGGATAACCACTGGCTCTCACAGGCTCTTCCAGAAGAGATTCAGAACATTTATACTGGAGGAATCCGATGAGCTATAAAACTATTTTTCACAGATGTTCAGTAGGGTCACGGGGTCAGAACGTTACAATAACAAAGAATACAAAAACACGATATGAGTGCAAAGTATAAGAAAGGTAAACAAATCATTTAAACAACATACAAATAAAACCACCGTAACGAGTCGATAGCAAAGAAACACGAATGGACACAGCGCCCCCTACCACCTATTTAGCCATCCTAAAACCAGCGGAATATTCCCCCAACCGATGGGCATGACGGAGTGATGACCAACACGTTTCGTCGACTCGGACCAAGATAATAAAAAAAATCGTAGCAGCTGACGGGGACTGGGAGGCTGTCGTGCGTCGATTTGAGACTGCCGAGCAAGCTGTGAACTGCACTGAAGAGGAGGCTTCGGAGTCTGTGTCCACGGTTCTGAATGACGAAGAGTCATTCATCTGATGGGCAGGGTTGCCTGCACTGTAGAGCACGGTAGTTTAGCACACATAGTACTTTAATTTGATAAATGGAGAATATTCAATGTTTTTTTATTGTAGTTATCAAAAGCATCCAATATAAATTAATGCCTTTAAAATACAGTTCATAAATAACATTTACATGAACATCACAAGGGCTAAACTTAACCTTTTTTTTTTTATTTTACCAGGCAAGGCCCACTGAGCTATTTAGCTCTTTTTCAGAGGCGACCTGGCCACAAATGAAAGCTCAACCAAGTGGCTGATCATGTGGAAATCTATAGCAGCCACATTCTCGAAACGCATGTTTCTAAATGTTGAGTGAAAAGCCAGAGGACACTGAGACAAACCCACGAGCACGGGGATAATATTCAAACTCCAAACATACAGGCGTCAGGGTCGAACCCAGGGACTCCTGCATACCTGGCGAAATAGTTAACATCTCGCCACCAAAGGGGGCCCCCTTGGTGACTGGGAAGATAGATGCTGTAGATGTGTGATAGGCTTAATAAACAGCCCTTTAGAACTGTTGGAACTCTACGCATATACTGCAGTTTTGTGTATCTACATACGTAAAGCAAATAAGCGTATGTGTATAGACCCCTTTGTTAAGGGTTTGCACGTTACAGGTGCCACCCTCTTTAAAGTTCCTTGTGATTGTGCAAACTATGACAGCAAGAACAATTAGCGATCCTGTATGATCCGGAAACAACACAGATGAAGCAACAGGTGGATAAACTAGACTGGCATGTGTACACATTAATGAGATTCACGGTATTGGGTGAGTGGGAAGTCCCAATACTGACTTCAACAATTATGGGCTCATGAAGGTCAAGGAGTTTGATGATTTCCCATTTACCCTTGCATACAATTGGTTATGTTATCTTTAGGCATATGACAGATCTTAGAGAGGGATTTTGCCTGTAAGATCGGCGGCTCACCATTATTGATTCTAGCAAGCTTGACTGCTGATG